CAGTTACAGGGCCTGGTAAAATATATTAAGCCATGCACGCTGTAACAACAAAAAATTCTAATGGGCAGCACTTTCTGATTCCAGTTTGTAATTCCATAAAATGCAATTACACCACAGGCATTAATGGTTTTAATTGAGCCAATTATGTACTAAGAGGTAAAAAGACTAAAAATACACACTAAATTATACGAAGTCTTTAGACTAAATAACACTTGGGAGTTAACAAAATACTTGTGGGAAAACATATCACAGATGGTCAAACAATAGAGCAGTGGTATCACTTGGAGTTTTTTCTATTATTTTTATTTTTTTATTTTTAAGTATATTCTTGTTTCAGCTGTTAAACCAAATGCCTTTAGGTCAAAGCTGAAGGGCTCACTAAATACAAGTGAAATGATTCCTTTATTTTGTAAGAAAATATGCCCACAAAACTCAGGGCCAATTTCAGATATTTGCAGAAATAAAGAATCGCAGATTTCTATCTGCCCTACCCTGAAACACCACTGGCAATGAAATGATTACGCATGACAAAAAAAACAAAAGGAAGATATATCAGAAGAACAATTCTTCCCATAATCCATCCATTTAACCACAGTAGCCCATTTTCCATGCTGATGACTTGCAAGGACCTATAATCACATTTTAGGTAGCTTCCTTTCACAGAAACACTTAGTTCTTATAGAAGCTCTCAGACTATAAAACAAAAGTGTTTCATAACATTTCCATGTTTCACAGATGCACGCTCATCTATCAAGATTTGGGATATGTCAGTCAAGTAGAAATTTCTGACCCACATACTAGGGCAAGCTGGAACAGTTTAAGCATCCAGTCTCCAATGAAGGGGGTAGAGAGAGCATCTACTTGTGATGTTACTAAATGGTGTTAACTCATGGTTCTGATAGACTTAACCCCCCCCCCCCCCCCCCTCCACACACACACACACACACCTTTCTCACCTCAAAGTAAAAAGAAGCAAAGCCTAGAAGTCAAGCAAAATGAAGAAGGTAACATTTGCAGAACAACTTTTTGTAAAGACCAATTATGTTCACTGAAAGCCCACTCATACAAGAGTCTAAGGCTGTGCTGAAGCCCTACACAGTAAGATGTAGCTTAGTTCATTTTAGACACTTTTTATTTGGAGCTACTTAGAGCAGCAATTAAGCAAGAAATAGTTCTACTTGAGCGTATCTTGCTATCTATAAAGAGCTCTGAATGTAAGAGCAAACAGTACTTGGCAATAAAAATTTTGATGAGGTCACCTGAGAAACAATGCAGAACACTAGTTCAGAGACCACAGACTACTAATGTGGCAGAACATAGCTTGAAAGAAGAATTCAGCAGCATCAGCATACAAATCATAACATCAAGGCTTGCTTAGACTTCAGTGCCAACAACTTTAAGCAATACCCTAGTAGATAACTTTGACAATGCCTGCTTATCAGGACTTAAAGCCCCCTCAAGCACAATGTATCTTCTGCATAAACAAAAGACCAATGATATCAAGAGTGTCTGCAGCAAGTACACCTAAACGGCTGTACGCAAAATTGTGCACAAAATACATCTTATCCTAGCTGTACCACCTATGACTGGCCTCATTTCATCTAACTACTAGCTTGAAAGAATTCAGAGGCAGAACACATTACATAAGCAGAAGACATTCCTTTTAGCAATGACTAAATGACTAATTCACAGCTGGATATTAGGAAAAATGTCTTCTCAGGAATAATGGTGAGGGCATTGGAACAAGCTGCTCAGGGAGGTGATGGAGTCATAGTCTCTGGAGTTGTTCAAGAAAAGGGTAAATGTGGCACTGAGAGATATCGTTAGGGGACATGGTGGTGATGGGTCGGCAGTTGGACTAGAAGAGGTGATTCTAGTCTAACGTTAACAATTCTATGATTCGTGTCTAACTAGATGTGAAAAATTAATATCATCTACGATCATTTCAATTACACAGGTACAATCTTAAAAGTCATGTTAGGCAACTATTTCTGAATCATGGGAGGTGGTTTCTTCTGACCAAAGAAGAAAAAGCTAACCTTACGGAGGTGTGGATGGCAGATGTTAACTTACAGTCCCCAGCTACATAAGGGACAGGTAGAAAGAGAAATGTCAAGAGAAAAGAATGGGTGAAGCTCACTCCCACAGCACACAGAAAGAGAATTGAGACAAAGGACAAAACTGCAGCAAGGGAAATTACAAAGTTAAGACAAAAAAATATTTAGTCAGGGTAGCCAAACACTGGGACAAGCTGCTTAAAGAGGTTGCGAAAATGCACCTTCAAAAACACAGCACAACATGATCCATCACCAGAAATAGCCCTGTTTTGAGTAGGAGAAAAAGCCCATCATTATAAAGTTAACTGTGTGTCTTTTAAAAAGAAAAAGTTATGAAATTTTCCACTAGCAATAATCCAGGCTAAGATGACACTACGGATAAATAGCAGGCAGACTCAAGCCCAAAGGGTGAGTCAACAGCTTGCTGATGTCACAGCCAGGAATAGAGCTCAAATCTTTTCTTCCCCCTCTCTTCTACTGTTAGTAAGCAAGGCAAAGGAAGGACTATTTTTGTGTTCATGCACAAAACACAGTAAAAATAAATAAATAAATAAATAAATAAACAAACAAACCACCACCACATTTGAGAAACAACATGGTGGTGGTTTCGTTTTTGTTTTTTGTTTTTTTTTTTTTTTTTTAATCTTTAATTTTGTCAAAAACTCTAGCTTTTATTTTTCCTCAGTTACACACAGCTGTAAGCCACAAGATTTCCTATCTTTTTTTTTTAATATTGAATTCAACATTATTGTACACTTTATAAAGAAACTTAGACTACTACACAGAAAGTACTCACACACTGTATTTCACCAAGTCTGTTTCCTTTCTTGCTTTCCTAACCTAAGCAAGAAAAGCTTTAGGTATTTCCACTTTCTGCAAGATGCCAAGCACATCTGTTTTGCCCCCTTTGCCACCAACAACTCAAGCCTGTGAGCTGGCAAGTTATCTGTCTTATTGTTGTTTAAACCTTTCAAGTGGAAAATAACACCACTGAGGAGGAGGCAAGGCAGAATCAGCAGCACACGTAGGAAGGCCAGTCAGTTGGTTCACAAGGAACAGTGAACTTCAGCATCTAGGAGTTGAGTTGTATTATGTCTGCACAATTTTCCTATGTTGAAAAGATTGCTATTTCTACAACGCACACTAAGAATTGGCCCTTTCTCCCTAGCTATGACCACAAGGCAAGCAATTAACAGTCGATCACTAATAGTATTGCTTAGCAGTACATACTCCTAGCTGCCTCATCACCACCTTTCCGACTTCATTTGGGATATATCTAATCCACTCATTTCCTCAATAATATGCCCTGCAATTGCAGGATCCAAATTTAAGCAACCACTTAAAATAACTGCTATCCTTTCAGAGGCATAAAAATGTACCATAACTAGGATTCAAGACTATGTGCAACTTCATTCTGTACACACACTTGAAGCTCCAAAGGTAAATACACTTCTGCCTCTAGACAGCTTGCCAGGTTTTATTTTTCTTCACACTTGCACATGAAGGATTAGTTACATGAGCGCAGTACCATTATGTAACTGTATTAACCGTAGTATTAATCCATACAATATGCAACTTGAGAACTGCTCTCAGTTCTAATTCCCATTTCACAAGGGAAAGTCACAGAAAACATGGCACAGACACACATGCCGCCTTCTAACAACCAGTTGAACATATTAGGATTCCTGAGCCTAGAACAAAGATTACAAATCTACACACTGAGCAGGATCTTAAGACACAGCAGAATCGAGCAGAGTTGTTCACCTTTTTCAGCACAAGAATCTGAGAGCAGAGATTTAAACCACTGGAGCTCCAGGACACTCCAAAGAACCAGTTATTTACACAAGCAACAATTAGGCTATGAAACTCCTTCCTCCCCAGCATTCCTGATACAAGAGCTATTGATAAAAAGCACACCTGAAGTTATTATACATGCTACAAATCACAGTTTGTGGAGCTGGGATAAGTATTGCGTGGACACCAACAGACATTTTGGTCTGCCTCCTTTGCCTGGGCATTCTCTCCCATAGCCTGAAGAGTTGGACTAACTGAGCTTTGAGTAAGACATTTTATTTATCACAGGTTGCCACAGAAATTGTTTCTCTTTAAAAAGAAATTACGAGCTTACAGATTTCCACAGTAACTTCATCGTTAAGGAATGGCTTCAGTTCCAGAAGACATTAAGAGAAGAGACATAAAGAATCATCTGAAGTTCTGTGTGAGACAGAGAAACCTAAAAAAATAATACAACAGTTCTACAAACTCACTCTTTCAGCACAACCATGCAAAAACACTGCTCTCCACAATGCACTATTTAGATGGCAGGTGCATCTGGGCTTCTAAACTGTTTTAATGAACAGTTTTGTTTTTGTCTAGTCACACTTCCCACATGCAGGCATCCTGCTAAAATAATCAGGTGCCTTACAGCAATGTTGTAAGAAATCTGCCAGGAATCACTGCTCAAAACACTCCATTATTCAGTCATTAAGTGATTACAGTTGGAGAAAATGCACTATAAGCTAACGTAGCAGTTTACTTACTTTAATTCCATTTTACAAGACCTAGCCATGCCACTACTCTGCCAGAAGCTCACAGGATACCTAGCAGCCCTAAACCAAATATGCTATTCATAACACAGCAAGGAGAAAAAAGAAGAAAAAAAAGCCAAAATAATGATAAAATCTCAAACTGCCTCCCTGCCACATATGCAGAGTTTTCCAGACTTTGAGGACACAGGCCATTAGTATCATACTTTTGATTATTAGGGGACTGCTAACAAAATGGAAGGCATTGAGGTGTAGCAGAGAAAACACAAAATCCCATTTGAAAGCTGACACTGTGAATTTAGTGGCAGCTAAAACAGGACGTGAAAAGGCAATAGGGACACTGGAGGGAGACCTGCACCAGTACGGTGCTCGGTCTGCTGCAAGCCTAACACTGAGCTGGAAGGAAGGAACACACCAGAAAGAAAGAGACTAAGTTTATTTACAAGTTACCACAACTGGACTGCAAGAACGTCTAATTAGCATCAGCGGCCTTACTAACTACGTCCACAACCGTAGAACACATTTCTTCCCCTCCTCCGACGCGCAGGAGCTCGCGAACGAGCCCGCCCCGGCTGCGTGAAGAAGCGCTACCGCTTTCAGGCAGTCCCAAGGGGAACGAGCGAGACGCCAGAAGCCACGCTGCGGCCACCAGAGAGACCACAGGGGACGGGACGGCCGCCCCCATCGCTTGGGGTACCCGTGCAGCGTTCCCTGCCCGTCCCGAGAGGCCACACCGGCTGTAAGGCCCCCACCACCATCAGAGCGGCGCAAATCGCCTCGTCCTCGCCGGGGCCGGAAGCGGAGCCGCGCCGGCGCAGGGACAGCCCACCGCCGCGGGGAGGGGTGCATCCGCCGCCCCCCGCCCGATCCTGCGCCCCCGGAGGCGGGCGGCCGTCGCCTGCCAGCCCGCAACTTATCGCGCAGGTCTAGTCCGCCGCTATGCTGGGGCCTGTACCTGCGTTGGAAGTCCTGCTCGAAGGGGGCCAGGTAGGGGTCCCGCTCCAGCAGCTCCGGTAGCTTAGGCGCCTGCGGGCCTTGCGTGCCGGAGACGGCCATCTTGCCGCCACGGCTCGGTGGCGCCGGGCACGGCCGCTATATACCTCTAGACTGGGGGGGGAAGGGGGGAAGGGGGAGACTGAACGGGGGGGTCTCAGATCGGGGCGGGCGAGGAGCCCACTGCCTCTCACCGCCCGGCGCCGCCCACCGGCGGGGGCAGCCCCGGGACCGGGAGCCGCCCGCCTCCGTTGCCACTCCCCGCCCGCCTTTTGCCTCGCGGCCTTGGGTAGGGTGGGAGGCTGCGGCTGCGGGTGACGACTGCCGGGCTCTCTAAGGGGTACAGGGTGCGAGTGCTGAGAAAGATTCCTTCGCTGCTCGGCGGGGCGCTGGGCAGCTCGCAGCCGAGCGCAGCGGCGCGGCTCTGACGGCATCCGTGAGCTCTTATAAAACGCTGCGTGTGTTTGGCGGAGTGTTGCTTCGCAGGGGCCAGAGGAGGCTTGAACAAAGTAGAGTGAGTTTAGTGGATCCTAAGGCAGCTGTAAATGCTGAATAGCACAGATAGATTACGAAGGACAGATTATCAATCAGCGTGTCTCATTTTTGAATAGGCCTCCAGATATCCAAGGCAACTCTGCCATCCTGACCGTGGCTGTAGGCCAACGTCCAGCAGTAGAGCAATATTGCTTTGTTAATACACGTACTGACAGTGTGTATTTACAGGCTTCTTTTTGAATACTGTTTAGCCACAGGTTATAAACTTTCCAGCACTGGGGTGCTTGACACTGCTTCCACGACTGTCTCCAAGATTTCTGTCCTTGGTTTGTAACTCATCTCCCTTGCCTTGGCTTACTCTGGATTTAGAGTGGCTTCCTATTCTGCTGCCAGGTGATAGCCTATAACAAACTGCAGCAATTATTTATAGCTTCTCCAAAAATTAGCTGAAGTGACAGTTTTCAAAATTATTTGTTTCATCAAATGGTACACATTTAACTATGCTGTATTTCCTTCCTTGCAGCAGTATGCATACAAAAATCCAAGAACTAGGACAAGTGCTGTTCAATATCTTTATCCATGGCATCAACAGTAGGATTGAGTGCACCCTCAGCAAGTTTGCGGAAAATGCTAAGCTGTGTGGTGTGGTCAGCACATCTGAGGGACCAGGATGCCATCTGGAGGGACCTAGACAGGCTTGAGCATTGGATCCAGGTCAACCTCATGAGGTTCAGTGAAGCCGTGTTCAAGGTCTTGCACCTGGATCAAGGCAACCCCCTTTATCAGTACAAGATGGCAGTGAAGGAATGGAAGGCAGCCCTGCAGAAAAGGACTTGGGGGGACTGATGGATGGGAAGCTGGACATGAGCCAGCATTGCGCCCTCACAGCCCAGAAAGCCAACTGTATCAAAAGAACATCAAAAGAAGTGTGGTCAGCTGGTCGAGGGAGGTGATCCTGCCCCTCTACTCTACATTGCTGAGATCTTACCTGGAATAGTGTGACCAGATGTGGAGTCCTCAGTACAAGAGAGACGTGGACCTATTGGAGAGTATCCAGAGGAGGGCCACAGAAATGATCCAGAGAATGGAATACCTCCTCTGTGAGGACAGGCTATGAGAGCTGGAGCTGTTCAGCCTGGAGAAGAGATGCCTCTGGGGAGACCTGAGTGCAGCCTTTCAGTATCTAAAGTGGGGCTGTGAGAAGGGGACAGACACTTTAGCAGGCTCTGCTGTGATAGGACAAGTGGAAATTATTTCAAATTAAAGAGGGGAGACTTAGACTGGATATAAGAAAGAAGGTTTTTACAGTAAGAGTTAAGTTTTTCATAAAAGAGGCACTGGAACTGATTGCACAAAGAGGTCATGGCAGCCCTGTCCCTGGGGACATTCAGGGTTTAGGCTGGATAGGACTCTGAGCAACCTGATCTGATAGGTGCCCCTGTTCGTTACAGGGATTTAGACTAGATGACCTTCAAAGACCCCTTAAATGATTCTAGGATTCTGTGAAATTGTTACCTAATTTGCCCCATCAGAAGGCCTGAGCAGTTTGTGTTTGTTTTGTGAAATAAATGGCATTAAACATCAGAGCTACCTGTCATAACCAGCTTACAATGGGATTTCTTTTTCTTTTTTTTTTCTCCCTCAGTGATTTCTTCAGTCTCCATCAGGACTGAAAACCTGTTACATGCTTCAGAACTGTCTGAGTAGCAGTGATTCCCTTGTCTGTGTTAAACCAAAGTTTAATAACTCTTATCTTATTTCTGACATCATGCTATGCACGCTGTGTTTTCTTTTGCAAACTGTCTCTGCCATTCCCATAGTTAACTGGTGGGGCAAGCTAAAAGGGGAGCAAATCCAGCTGTTAATCAAGAGCCAGTAACTTGTTTTTCACAATAGCTAACATTTTACTTGTACTGCTGTTTGAGGCTTCCAGCTGTAATAGAGACGTTGCCTGCTGCTGAAGAGGAAGGAAGGGGGAAATCCCTGCAGTCTTTGAATATACTACCATAGGAAACAGGAGCTTCATTTTGAGCACAGTCTGTTTGGTTTTCTTAATTATCAGAAAGCTCAACAGGTTCAGAGTGCCATTATTAGCTATTTGACTTAGGCACAAGAGAGGGATTTATAAATTGGCATTAGCAATCTATGTAAACAGTAGAAATATTGCTGTGACTTCTCCAGGGAGCTCCCTGGAGACAGAGACCCTTTCTTAACCTTTGCTTGCAAGATTGTAAGAAGAAATAACACAGTATCCTGACTCGCATCCAAGCATCCTTGAATGTCAGGAAGTTAAATTCTTCAAGTAGCCCCAAGTGCTATATTTAATACCTTATGAATTAGGAAATGGATAACCATTCTATTTGTATCCGTTCATGTTCAAGTTTACAACTGAGGTGTGATTTTATCTGCCTGCTCAAAGACACAAAGGCATATATTACTGCAATCATCTATTCCAACACAATCTGGCTGAGACTCTAAGGCCAAATTTGGCTCTGAGGACATTGCCATTTAGTCTTCTACCTAGAGGCAAAAAGGGCACTCGAAACAATAAAAGTTGTCTCAGTAGATGAATGTTTGTTTGTATATTTGTCTGACATCCATACAAAGATAGCAGCTGCCAGTAGAGATAGGAAGAAGGGGGTGGATGGTAATAACTGCACTTTTGGGGGACAGTAATCAATATAAAAGGAGTGGCATCTGAGGCATGTGTCTGGCACCCAGTTACCACCAAGAACAGAGTATAACAAACCACTTTAAATTAGTCTTTCAAAGGATGTTCATGATTAAGTTGTGTTTACTTTAAAATGTTGCACAGCAGTGCTGTGCAATAACTAGTTACAATTCTTAGAATGGTTTCTGTACAAAGTTCAAAAAGAAATCAAAGTTTTGTACTCCAGAACATTCAAGAACTGACTATTCATGTGGTGCACTACAACAATTTTCATTTTCTCATATTTTGCTTTTACTTGCAAAAGTAGACCGAGATGCTAAACTGTAGGAACAAGATTCTTTCTTTGAAGCACTGGTTCAAATTCTTCCCACTATTGTGGCTCTCAGATCGGCCAGAGACCACCACATGGTGTTATCTGGAGCCTGCAGAGAGACAGACTTGGCAGTTGTTAAGGGTGACGTGTTTTCCTTCCAGTATAGGTATAAAGTGGGTACTGCAAACATCCAATACATTTCTTAATTATCACTAATCTACATGGTCTTTACATGTAGGTCAGACAATGGCAATTGAGATTAAACAAGTTCTTTATCCCTGTCTTTGAGCTTTCCAAGGCTCTGCTGAGATGCAGGAGGAAAAATGGGCAATGTTGTGCAGTTGCTGAATCTCAGCAGCATGTCAGAGTTCATTAATTAAAACATAGTTTTGCAGTTTTTGTAAGGATTCAACTGTTAATTAATTACTTAGGAAGAATAAAGGATATAACCTTGAAAATTACAGCAAACATTCCATGAGTCCATTAGTATATCCTTTAATTAGTTTATGGTTTGGGAGTTTTGTTTTTGTTGGCTTTTTTTCTGTCAATTTGTTTTAAGAAATGTATTATTCATTGAGGTTGTCTTATTAGGTCTTACCTTTGCCCTCCTATGGTATCAGGAGCTTTAAATAACAACACATCTTTAAAGATCAAAAGTAATCTGAAATCTAAACTACTAAAAAGCCAGTTCAGATTGTCAAGTTCCACTAAATGCTCTTGATAGGACTGCTATTTGCACTTAGCATACAGAACCAAAATCATACTCTGGCAGCATGAAAGCTCTAGCTAATGGCTGCTTTTTGCTTTCATGTTACTGAAGTATTGCTGTGATCTGGTGTCCTCATGGAACACCTCCCCTGTGAGGACAGGCTGAGAGAGCTGGGATTGTTCAGACTGGAGAAGAGAAGCCTCTGGGGAAACTTGATAGGAGCTTTTCAGTGTCTAAAGGGGAGCCGTAATAAAGAAGAGGACAGACTTTAGTAGGGTCTGTGGTGACAGGACAAGGAGAAATGGCTTCAAACTAGAAGAGGGGAGATTTAAATTGAACATAAGGAAGAAGTTTTTTACAATAAGGATGGCGAGGCTCTGGTACAGGTTGCTCAAAGATGTGGTGGATGCTCTGTCTTTGGAGACATTCAGGGACCTAATAAGGTCCTTTCCAACTCAAAAGATTCTATGATTCATTACTACTTAGTAGGAATATTTTACTTCATGTTATTACATCACCTCAGTAATACTCCATTTCTTTTTGTTTGTTTTGCTTTTGTTTCATCTCCTTTGTAGCAAACAGATAAACATTTGTACTTTAAATAGTAGTCTTTGCAGTTAAACATATACTTTTTTTTTTTTTTTACCATGGTTTTGAGATCTTAATTACAATCATATATAAGATTAATTTTGAGTTTTCTGAGTTAATGTTATCCTACTTCAGCTGGAATTATGCATTGATGTTTCTCAGTTTCAAATGCCCTTCATTTTTTGGTATCTCTTTTATTTTTTTGTTAATCTCTCAAAATTCTCCCTGGATATTGGATTCTGTCTCCTAATTCCACTCAAGAAACATTTGATCTCTGATTTTAGTTTAACTAACCACTCTGTGAAGATATTTCTCCCATTCTGCATGATCAGCTTCTACAGCAGGGTTCTCATACCAGTTCTGGTTTCCACTACTTTCATATTTCAACGTCTTTGTTAACACTTCATTCTCCTTGTGTCTGCTTAATCAGAATAACCTTCTAAATTGTACAGATCTCAGCTTGTGCCAGTATTCATTCTTTCTGCATTATGTTTTCTTCCCAGGCAACATTCAACCTCGTCATTTTCCAATTGTCCATTGGTTCCATCAGGACAGTAGACATTTCCCAATGGTCAGATTGTAATTTGGAGTCTACACAGGTGAAGTATAAGCCTTTTTGGCTGCAGCTGAGAGGTATGAATGGCCTTTTCCCTTATGTCACTCTTCAGTTAGCAATCCAGTAGAGACGTTGGAGATGCTGTTCCAGTACACTGAATCTTTTCCAGTTTCCTCACTGTATCTGCATGTTTGTGCTAAATTTAACTGCTTTCTTGCTACACTATTTCCTACCAGTGCATATATGCATAGATTGCTTTGCTTTTGCATCTTATCTTGTCATATCCCTTTTGCCACATTTTCTTAAGAAGAATGAGTGTAAATACTGATAAAAATAACGGTGTTACAGCTTCTGAGTCATCTGCTCAGTTTGATATTTTCAAATTTGCTGCTTACTATCTATGATGGCTGATATCTCTTCTCCCCTCATATAGGCTGCTAGCTTATTCCATGTTGTTCTGGTATCTATAGGCCCTAAAACTAAATACACTCCAGGCCATCCATTATAGTTACTTAAATACATCTGTGTATTTAAACATTCAAGGCTTGTCAATTTCTACTATGTTGCCATGCACAAAACATTAAAGAGTCTGACAACTTTTTTCTGCTTCTATTATGTCTCTACTTTCTTTTGGCTTATGACCATCATAGTGGTATAATCATTCAAATTCTGGTCTTCTTTCTTAAGTTCATACAGTGTTATGCATCCACTCATCATAATCAGTTTCTAGATCTTTTGAAAGAATCTGGATCCCAAAGATTTAGTCCCTGCTTAATACTGTTTCCTCACCTCATCTATTTCTTCCAAAAAGTAGAAATGGATAGATCCTAGGTGCAGGGTCCTAGATAATTCCTAGGAGCAGAGTTGGAATGTCCAGCAGGGGACTGGTTTTGTTTTTATCTTTCCTAAGAATCGCAGAATTATAGAATCATGAAGATTGGAAAAGACTACTAAGATCATCTAGTCCAACTGTCAACATCACCATGCCTGCTGAACCATGTCCTCAGAGCCTTGGTTCCCCTGTCAGTGGCCTTGTCCTTTACTAATAAGCCATAAGAAAAACAGTCTCTGTTCAGCTGAGTCATGAGAGGTAGCAAAGACAAAGATCTCTGATCACTTAGGACTATGATCAGAGGCTTTTAAAGCAATCTTTGGGCCTCCATACAATGTCCACCTAGTGCCAATTTGCCAAACTGCCACATTTTCTTTCTCAGATTTTCAGCAGTTGGCATCCACCACAAAGACTGACACCTATCTAAAAGAGATTTGCCCAAAGTGAACTGCAACCAGATCACTGAATGATTTAGCCACTATTTCTCTTCTTTCCTCAGATTATCAGTGATCTTGAGTCACCTGGGCTCAAAATTTATTAGTTATTTATTTGTTATAGTATACAAACTATTTACAGTAAGATGAATGGTAAGATATCTGACAATTCATGGACCAGTGAATGCCCTGAGTCTCTGGAATCTATCTGCTGTTTACTTTGTGTCACCACTTAGTCTTATAACACAGTGTTCTAAGCAAAATTACTGTCACGTATATATTTTTGCTTTAATATCAACCATTTATCAATTTAACTTTTTTTTTTTTAAGATATAATACAGCTCTCTGTATCTGGTCAGTCAGGTCATTAGTAGTCAAATAACAGCCATGGTAGCACACTGTAAATGAGAAATGCTTTAAAAAGTCTTCCATGCCTTTGTCTTCCTCTATTAAAACTTGTTCTCACAGACCACATTGAGATCCTCTGTTATTTTTCTGTTAGTCTTTTTCTGGCTCTTTGACTTTTGCTGTTAAAGCTTTGGTTTATGCAAATAGTGATATTTCTTCACTGATAAGATTGTTATCCAAATTATTAGTAATGTTTGTTTTTTCCCTATTTCCCTGTTTCAGCTGCACATTTAAAATACTGAAATGCTTGTACAGTTCACAAATTATCTATTGCTTCTTGGCCTGTGCAATCTTTCAGCTTTCCTCAGTAACTCTTATGTTGTCTTCTGTTTCAACACTTGCACAAGAAAAATTCACAAAGGATTCCATCCTGGGAGCTGAGTCATTCTCTAAACCAAGAACTGTCATTCTCTGTACATAAAATATTCCTCTGCAGAGCTTAAGGGCAAGTATTACATATGTGATTTTATGTTGATTTTTCTTTGGCTTCTCTTACTTTAAATTGCTTGCATATCTGAATCAGTATACCACATTATTTATCTGTACACACCAAAACTTTCTTTGCATTCATACAATTACATAATGTGTTACATAATGCCAAAATGTTAGTTATTTTTGTGTTCTAATTATTTATTTGATAGTCATTTCAAAAAATACACTTACATTTTCACTTGTTTTGTATTTACACCTAATTCTCTTGAACTTTAACTACTTTCTTCCTATCCAGGAAACCTCCAGTCCTCAAGGAACATGATCTGTACAATCAAATTGTTAGTCCAGTCACACCTCTAAAAGACAGTCATGGTGAATAGCAATCTAGCTTTAGTCATCTGAGATAGCTAACATTTAAAAGAGCTGACTAACAGTGACATGTATTAGACATGGAAAAAACAAGACCGGCTATTTATTTCTTTTCTTTTCTTAGCACTGTAAAGTACCTCACACATTCTTTGTATTTTTAAATAAACATTTTAAATAAAAAAAAAACAAATTCTGTGTTTGTGATTGCCAAAAATAAACGCTTTAGTAGGTTGAAACCACTCTAGCACTATAAGTTATTCCCATTATGACATTCCCTGCTTATGTTAAAATTAATGTGTGGGACTGAAAGAGATTTATAGAAAGATTCCTGAACACCTCTGTTTTGATTTTTATTATACTTCTTGAAATAAAACTTTTCAGCTGATTTCTCCAGCATAATTTCACCTGTTAAAAATTCTCATGTTAGCTCTGATTTTATAAATAATGCCTTTATTAAATCTATAATTTTCAAGCCTACTACGTTTTTATTCCCCTTTCTTTACTTGCTTGCATACTTATCACTCTTTGTTTCAATGTTTTGTTTTGTCCTTTTAATTCTTTGTTTTACAGTAAGTCTTGTTGCACTGCTTTACTTGAAGAATTAGTATCTGCATAGAAGAAAATTGAGCCTCGTGCCAACAGATGAGATAGACTTTATGACTTCTCTATGATCACACCACATATTGATAAAAGCATGTAACTGTGAAGTATGAGATGCAAATGTCAAAATATTTCTTTGTTTTCGTAAGGAGTTGCAAAAGGAGTCATTCCTTTTCTGTACAATGAATTATGGGCATTCAGAACTGTAAAAAAGCCACTCTGCCAAGAATATAAAAATAAATGCCATTTGTTGTTTTTTTGTTTTGATGGGGCATCCACAGCCTCCTTGGGCAACCTGTTCCAGTGCGTCACCACCCTCTGTGTGAAAACCTTTCTTCTAATATCTAACCTAAGCCTCCCCTGTCTCAGTTTAAAACCATTATGTTAGAGAAGATTCAGCAAAGGCTGAAATATCTTTTGTCTTACACTCTAAACCTGGATAGTGAAGAAAATAAAATCGTCAAGAAGATGGTATCTGCATGTAAATAAACTACTGTCATTCATAGACATAAATATGCAGAGGTTATAGCTGTGAGAGCTATTTAAAAATCAGAAGTCAGAATATAGTCATGTTTGGAGGAGTAATACATAAAGAGTTATCCCTCAGGAACATACCCTTCTAAAGTGTAACCAAATAAATAGAATTATTTCACGTGGTGCTGTATAATTGAGATGACTTGGAATTCCCCCTCTTATAACACTTTTCATCTAACTGTTTGGTGTGATGGCGTAAGGTTCAATCTCCTATCACAGGTTAGGAAAGACTTAGTTCTAAGAATTGAACTTAGAATTGAGGGAAGATAGTGAGTCTTCTTTTCCAATCTACATATTAATTATCAAAACACTCAGTGAATTTATGTTTGCTGACAAAATGACATATCTTGCTTACATATCAGTGGGAAAAAAAAAAAATTGAGTTTCTAGTTAATTGAAACTGTCGCTTTCCTCAAGTAACTATCCTAATGCACTAAAACCAAGGAAAGCAGAGGAAGATTTTTTAAAAATATATAGTTCTGCTATAAGCAAAACAGCACCTGCTTCTTTTTAGAAAGAATCTGAATTTAACATAAGTCTTGAAAAAGTTACTAAACTCATATTCTGATCCACCATTCTTGACCTTATATGACCATCTGCTGAATTTCTGGCTTCCCACTGATGTAAAACATCTTAGTAAGTAAACATAACATAGTACTTGTACCTTAGAATTTGAGGAAGAAATGCCAGGGACATCTGCAGCCACAAGACAGGTAAAATGCTTCTATCCTCTTCTATTCTCCTCCAACAGTTGTTTCTTAACTACTCTTGGTAATTAAGAAAGACTAGAGAATACGTATGTCATTAGATCTATGTGTCTTTGTTTCCGCAGGAACACCTTACCCTTTATTTTATTTTGTCCCTACTAATTCTTTGCCCTAGCACAGAGAAAAATAACTGCATAACTGCAGTTTCAGATATATGTTACAATGCCTTCTTCTGCTCAGTATAAAATATTTTTTTACTCACTTCCCAGTGTGCAGTCCAGTGTGAATAAAATGCATTGCTAAGAAATTATTAATATATGCAACCTTATTTGACTTTCCTTTTAGTTGCTGAAATAAGACACTTAATTTCTTTACGAGTCTGTGGATGGATGTCTAGAGTTTATGGACTGTCAGAAGTGTGATTTAAGGATAACTAGTAGAGCTGCAAAGCAAACAAGAAGCTGCTCAGTGCTGGGTAGTGACAGTGCTTTTTAAAGTCTGTTTAAGGATCCACTGTTCCTATTAAGATGTACAATACATCTGTAGATTTATTTTATATAGAACAGGAATCTCCAGGCCATTATCATCACAAAGTTACAAATAAAGTATAGAAATATTTCAGTATATTTTCAAAACACGTGGTACTAGGAGTAGATTAAGGAGTTTATTATTAATGATCAAAGACAATAGCCAACTCTGCTGTAGTAGTGGTGAATAAAAGCAAAATTGAAAATGCTCTATAATTTCATCCTTTTAATAAAATAAAACCTCAGTGTCAGCTTAGAACTTGGTCGGTTTTTTTTTCAAGAACTAATAAAAATATAATGTAATTATTTTATTACTTAATTTTCACCCAATCTGGTAATGAATGGAAATAAAAAGCATTAAGTCTTTTAGAAACTTTTTCTCCACATGTTTAATATCTTCTATAAATTCAGAATTTGGTCTGTGCACTATTTTTGGTCTGTAAGTAATCCACAGATAATCTGGTACTAGCATTCATGTCTGGAAATTTGATATCATTTGGCTTGTTTGATTGAACTTACATGACAGTCCTGTTAGATGTGGGTACTTAACAAATCACTAGTCCTGTTCAAATATTATTCTGAGTGATTTTTCTCTGGCAGTCATTGAAATTCATTCTTTTTGTAAGGCTATAATCATGGAAGAAAAAAAATAATGGATCAGTAGATGTCTTAGCATATTTTTTTACTGATTTGACCAAATATTCAGACAGAAATATTTCTAAGCATTCAGTAACTGGCAGACTAACAGTGCCTTTATATTCAATAATACTATCTCATGGGAAAAGAATCGTTGCTGGATCTCACCTCCACCCAGTCTCTTCAATGCAGTCTTTTTGAGTGACAGGCCTCTGCCCACATGCTACCCACAGCAGAACTCCCAAGAAACTGCTTCTTTAAACCTGGCAGTAAGTCTACAGCATCCTGTATTCTGTATTCTTGCATTTAAATCTCCTTCTCAGAAGCACATCCCTTAAATTGCTAAATGCAGTACACAGTATTCTTTCTAGTATGAATGCCCTACAGCTACCACTTTTTGTCTGAGCTCCAAAGAGGCATTTCTGTCACTATTCTCATGGCAAGCCAAGCTACAATTTGTCTCTGCATGATGCTTCTCTGTGGTACTACACCAGTGCACAACGACTTGCAATCTCTCAAAGAACTGTTTTAAAGAAAACTGCAAAACATTTGTCCATCTGTATCTCTCTGTAAAGCTTAACCCTGTGATAAGCATCACAAATCTGTCTGCCTCTGGTGTGCCAAGCAATAGTTCAGTATCACAGATCTAGGACTCAGCACCCATCTTTGTGTTTTTCACATCCTTTTGAGATGCTGGTCAGTGATTCCCTTCCCCTCCCATTCTTTCCCACACTGGGTTTGCCCTGAGTTTTGATTGTAACTCTTCAAAATAGAAAAGCAAGGGTATAACCTGGAGATAGGCAAAGCAGGGCATCCCTAAATTAGCAATTCTGCCATTTCTCATTCCAGAATTCTTAGTATGTTCTTGGAAAGTCTGGTTCTCTTCCTTCATTCATTGCTTATTTCAAGCAAATTCAATGTGAAAATATCAGGCAGTTAAACTGAAATATATGTAATATCTATGAAGAAGATATTACACCCAAGTTCTAAGGAAGTTGGAGACACTTTTGCTGCTAGTTAAGTTCCACTCAGTGTAAGCAACAATCAGAATATGACCCTGTACTACAGTGGTTAGAGAAACCATGGGCTGTTTATTTTAACTGCTACATTAACTAACCATGATTATTTTTAATGGAGTTAGTGTTGAAAGCATTACAGGTGGCATAAAGGAATTTTTGCAAGCGGGAACAAAGGAAAATAATCTGAACCTTTAGCAACCCCAGAGAGATAGCTGATGTTCCAATTTATTTGCAGTATGAGGCCTCAGAAGAGTTCTCAGTAATGTCCTTAGAGTTTAGCTCATAGATAAGACAGTTTCCTGTAGTTCTTCTCCTAAGTTACTTCCTGCTGGCCTACAATATTACATCCATCCTTCTCATCCTCAGGGCTTCTTTCTGTTGTCTTTTTTTCACCTGCCATACCTAAAGGTATGCTTGTGACCTCATTTAATCCTGAAGAGCAAGGATGCTAATTGAGTTGAAAATGGTAATGATGCATCTAATTTTCTCATATCTGTGTGCTCTCCCTCCTTTCAGAACATCTGACAACACCTGCATCCCAGAACAAGGGCTTCAACACATATTTTTCTGTGTTGCGCCCAGCTACTCCCTTGACCTATTATCTGGGGCAAATTGCACAGCGAATCAAACATGATTCCCTCCACATTTCTCTTCATTCTGTTTCTGAATAAGAGCAGATGTGTTCTCAGGACATTTTTGTATTTGTTGTCGCAGTTAAAGCATAATTAGCTACATGAAAAAGAAGGGGGATTAACCGCCTCCACTTCAGCTGAGACATCATCACCTTTACATTTAAGGCTGCTATTTGGTTTTTCAGGTATTTCAATTGCCGGTCAAGGAGCGGTTTAAGTCTGTAATATAATAATACTTGCAATTACCAGTAAATAACATTTTACAGCATTAACTAGCCTGTCCTTACAACATCCTTTGCAGGCAGGCAAATAAATGTTATTATCCTCATTTTACAAACACATTGATTAAGTGACTTGCCTAAAGGCCACACATCAATTTCAGTGTCAGTGCCAAGATTAGCACAAAGGAACTTCTGCATTGCAGTCACAGGAAAATAAATAAATAAATAAATAAAAGTAATATTAAGTCCCTCCCCTGAAACGAGCAATCACTTTTCAGACACTCAGTCTAAATAGTGTTTACCTGCTTTGCATCCACCATCAGTCCTGCGCTCTGTCCACCTGTTAAGTGCTGCTTGTTAATGACTCAAAAAATTGTTCCCAGCCTGCCATTAGCAGGGGAAGATTTGCTTTCACCTGCTAGTTTCATACCAGTGGCTGACAGGTGCTGCCTCGAACATGTGTAGCTCCCAGGCTTATGGCTGAACCTGTGCTCAGGCAAGTGAGGAAGGCGTATGCTGCTCCTTGAAGGGCCTCAGTATGAGCACTGATTTGAAGATGCAGCAGTTGCAGCAAGAACACAATGACAAGCAATGCAGACCTTACTACATTCATGTATGACACATGGAAGTATAGCAAGTAACACAAAAATCTATTAAACACTGCAGAGTTTCTAATGTTAAAACCCTGTTCTGTTTGCAGGCATTTATTGCTTAGGAAAAAAAATCCAAATAGTAGCAATTGCTTTTTCCCCAGCCCCCACTATAACATATGTTTCCTACCTGGAAAGATAAAAAAAGAGGAAGTCACTCCAGCACTTTTAACAGCTAATTAAGGCCATTCACGTGTAGGGATGGCAATGTTTTCTCCTGAGGTAGGCACTGTTTACAAGATCTTCATGGCTCCATTTCTAAATGTGACAGAAAATCAAAATAACTGTGAATTTTTTGAACTTCAGTAGCATTGTTTGTCAGTAGATTCAC